AGTGTTTGGGAGTGTTTATAATGTCTTTCGTCCAAAAGAGGCGCATTTCAATTTTCTCCCATTGACTTATAATGGGGAGGTCGCAAAATTGACCTGACCTTAGGTCATCGATATCAAAATTCTGAGATAAACATTTTGTACATGCTATTGCTCTTAGCAATCGCTGAAAGTTTCAAAGCGATCAGTCACTCGGTGTAGCTATGACAGACATTGAAACTTTTTATGAGGTGAGGTCACTTCAAGTGACCTGGTGACCTGACCTTGAATGACCTTGGTCTGAAATTTTCACAACATGTGTAGAATTGATGTATGATAAGGTGTACCAAAAACGACGGCGCTCTGCGCCGCCGTTTTTGAGATATTCGCGAAAAACCACAAGGGGGTGTTCAAACACCCCCCAGCAGGGCGCGGGTTAAAGGGACTATCCCACCTTTAACATGGGGTTTGAGTTGAGATAGCCAAGTTTGCGGCGAGGTTCAGAAACCACTATCTATCTAGGTTGCAACCTCTGCGGCCTCTTGGTGTTGAAGAAAGTCGTTCCCTTCATTTGAAAATGGGCCTTGTACAAGGCCCTATCTTCAACATGGAGCGACCATTAGTGTGACGTCACCTCGTTTAGTCATTCTGATTTAAATGGGTTTGTTCGTTGAAAAATCGCTTAAAACTTGGTCTGAACTTGGTTGTGGTGCCTACAGAGTAAAAAGAATCAGCTTTTTGACAGTAATGTGGCCTGGGGAAGGAGGTAATTTTGGGCTGTGACGTCACATATTTGAAAGTTTGTGTTTGGAATATGGGAAGCCTAAGATGTTTAATGAAAAATAAATGCCAGAACCGTGTTCCTGGTCATCCAATCTATAAAGTCGGGCACAATTTAACTGGTTTTAACAACATCTTAGAAGGTGGGATAGTCCCTTTAAAGGCACTTGCAATCTGTTATGTTCTGGTCACCGCGCATGCGTGCCGCGTGGCGGACGATACTAGCGCCACTGGTGGTGACACGGTAATTAGGGTCAGTCGTTCTTCTGAGCTCGCGAGAGGTGGTGTGTCATTGCCGGCCAATACACTCCGTAACTGAACATGGCGCGGTCGGCATAGGAGTGCGACCAAAGAGTGCGCGGAGTGATTCGGCGATCGGCATTGCGAGAGCAGTGAACCATGGAGGAGCAAATGGCGCGCCTAACGGCGCTGCTCGTGCAGCAGTCCGAGATGGCGGCCCAGGCTCAGCGGGAGGCGTCACAGCGGAATGAGCAGCTGGCGACGATGCTGGAGCGCGTGCTGGTGCAGGACCGTCCACCGGCTCCAGCTCCGAGGGGCGACACACTGGTGCCATCTGAGAGTGCAGCCGTAGTCGCCAGCGCCCCTGCCCGGCTGCCAGCCGGCGCCGTTACCGCTCCGTTTCTCGTCTCGTCGGCGTCACTGAAGGAGTTCGGAACGTGGTGGCAGAAGCTGAAAAACTACCGGCTTCTCACGCGCCTAGACTCTCTCTCGATCGAAGAGCAGAGGGCGGCAGTGATGTCTCTCCTGGACGATGACTGGGCCCGGACGGTGCGGTACACCATCCCGATTCCGCAGGACGCAGACATCGAGAGCACGCTGGACGCCATGGAGGCGCATCTTCGTGGCCAGCGGAGTGTCATGCTCGACCGGCGCGAGTTTTACTCGCGAATCCAACTGGCTGGTGAGACAATTGACGATTTTCTGTGCTCTATCAAGGAGATCGCGGCATATTGTGATTTTTGCACACACTGTTTGGACGATCAATACCGCGATCGTATCGTCACCGGCACGAGTGATGAAGAGGCTCTTAAGCTAATGCTTCATGAGCGAGACCTCACACTGCAGAGGGCAGTAGACATATGTCGCGCGTGCGAAACGGCTAGTGTTAACAGTGCAGCTCTGAGGGGAGAGACCGCTCGGATAGGCCGGTTGTCGGCATATCGGAAGCAGCGGCGTGTCGGCCCGGACTCACGGCCGCTCAGTGACCGGCGGGACAAGTGTGACCGCTGTGGACGTAGTCAACACGCCGAGAGAGACCGGTGCCCGGCCATGAATGTCTAATGTTATGAGTGTGGCGTTCTGGGACATTTCGCCGCAATGTGCCCCTCCCCGCGGCCGAGTTCAGGTCAAGACCGGCCCGCCCGTGTGCGTGACCTTGACCCGGCTGGCGCGGGCCGCGCTCGGGACAGCAGGTCACGTGACTCTGCGCGCGGCCGGCAGCCGAGCAGCCGGGCACGAGAGGGCTCGCCGTCGGGCTACAGCAGCCGGCAGCAGCGGCCGGACGGGAGCACAGCTGATGTGCGCCCGGTGCTAGCAGATGTATGCGTGGAAAACATCATCGCCGAGCCGACGCCTACAATTGTCGTGACCATGGAACACCCGGCTGGGGTGGCGACCGTTGCCGGCACACCGGACACCGGGGCGGAGGCCTCAGTGATGGGTGCTGATACGGCGACGTCTCTGGGCATCATCGCCGGCGAAGTGACGCCGTCGGCTAGGTTTACGTCGGCTGGCCGAACCCCGCTCACTTGTATCGGCCAGTTTGAGGCGACGCTGGGTTTGGGAGACTGCCGAGTCGACACTACCGTGTTCATACTGAAAGAAGTGCGTGGCTTCCTGATCGGCTGGAAGGACGTAATGAAGCTGCGTGTTCTGCCGGCCGACTTCCCTGCCCAGATACCGGCCCGGAGCGGAGGATGCCGAGCTGTCGCGGCCGACACGGACCCGTGCGGCTCTGGCGCAGCGCGCTGCAGCCGGCTGCGCGGTCAGTCGCCGGAGTCCGTACGCCAGGTGGCGCCATCTGTAATTCGGCAGAGCCGTCTGCCAGCGCCATCTAGCACCGAGAAGACCGGTGGGCCGGCGGCCGTCCTTGAGCCACTAGAGCAGTCACCCAGCCCAGTCCCAGTGTGGGAACACGCGTACGACCCACCGGAAGAAGTAGTGAGACAGCATGAAGAGGCGCTGCTGTCACACTTCCAGCAAGTGTTCGGCAGAGATGGCACTCTGCGCGAGATGGCCGGTGGCCCTATGCAGATAGAGCTGACGGACGACGCTGTGCCCTCAGCTATCACTGCGGCGCGGACCATACCATACTGCTGGCGGGACAGCATCAAGAGACAACTGGATGAACTGCAGGAGAGAGGGATTATCGAACCGGTCAACCATCCCACAGACTGGACACATCCGATGGTGCCAGTCGCGAAGAAGGACGGCGGCGTCAGACTCTGCGTAGACCTGACCCGCCTAAACAAGTTCGTCAGGCGCCCGACGTACCCGACGAGGCCCGTCCACGACGCGGTGGCCGGCATCGCAGGTGAAGCACGCTGGATGACAACGCTTGACGCCACAATGGGCTATCATCAAATCCAGATCGCAGAACACTGCAGAGACCTGACTTGCTTCATAACGCCGTTTGGACGTATGCGGTACATTCGCTGTCCGATGGGCCTGGTCAGCGCCATGGACGTCTACAATCGGCGCGGGGATGAGGCCCTGGGTGACATACCCCAGACGGTGAAGATTGTGGACGACGTCCTGACGTACGACGCGTCGTACAGAGAGCACCTGGTCCACGTCATCACCGTACTGCAGCGCTGTGACGCCTGGGGTATCACCCTGAACCCAAAGAAGTTCCAGTTCGCTCGTCATGCGCTGGACTTCTGTGGATATCACGTCACCGAAAACGGCTACACCGTGGATGACAGCAAGCTGAGGGCGGTGGCAGAGTTCCCGCGCCCGGAAAACGTGACTGACCTCAGGTCGTTCATGGGGCTCACTAACCAGCTGAGCGGGTTCTCAGCGGACCTCGCCAGCGTGGCTCAGCCTCTGCGAGATCTCCTGAAGCAAAGAACGGTGTGGAACTGGACTGCACAGCAAGAAGAGGCCTTCCAAGCTGTGAAGAAGGCGCTGGTCGCGCCACCTATCCTGGCTTTTTTCGACCCGCACGCACCTACAGCACTGCATACCGACGCCGCCCGCACCCGCGGCCTCGGATTCGTGCTCATGCAACGACACGGAGACAAATGGGTCATGATCCAGTGTGGATCCCGTTTCCTAACGGATACAGAAACGCGGTACTCAGTGATTGAAGTGGAGTGTCTGGCAGTTCTGTGGGCATGCCGCAAGTGTCACTCGTATCTGGCCGGTCTCCCACACTTTGATCTGGTGGTGGACCACCGGCCACTGATCCCCATACTGAACTCCAAGCGGCTGACGGAAATTGACAACCCACGTCTCCAGCGCCTGCGGGAGAAGCTGTCTCCGTACAGTTTCACAGCCAACTGGCACAAAGGTGTGGAACACTGTGCACCTGATGCTCTGTCTCGGGCGCCCGTCAGCGATCCGGGGCTGGAAGATGAGGTCGCCGAGGATGCCGAGGATGCGCTGCACGCAGCTGTAGTGGCGGCTCTGACGGCGACCTGTGAAGAAGGCGAGCAGATCGCGCCGCTGCAAGACCGCACGCTGGATGCTGTCCGGGCGGCTGCGGCCCGAGATCCAGAGTACACGACGCTGCGGGACACCATACTGGATGGATTTCCGTCACAGCGGTTCGAAGTACCTCCCTCGGTCCGCCCATACTGGGGAATCCGTGACATGTTGGCTGTGGACGACGATTTAGTAGTGTATGGTCCTCGGCTCATCATTCCGGTCAGCCTACGCAGAGAAGTACTGGCTGGACTACATGACGCGCACCAGGGAATAGAGAAGACGAAACGGCGGGCACGACAGAGCGTGTTCTGGCCAGGAATAGACAGAGACATCGCCAACACTGTCGCCGCATGCGTGAGCTGCCGACAGCTGACACCGAGTCACTGCAATGAGCCATCTGGCAGGAAGAAGAAGAAGGAGCTCCGACTCGGGTGTTCGAGTCAGTGTCGGCCGACTACTTCCATGTGGCCGGTCGGACATACCTCATTTACGCTGATCGGCTGTCCGGCTGGCCGTATTTGACGGTTTGTCCGCGAGCGGCATCGGCGGACCACCTCACAAGACAGCTGCGAACCATGTTCGCCGTGACTGGTGTGCCAGTCGTACTCCGGACAGACGGCGGGCCACAGTTCGCCTCCTCTACGCTGCGCCGTTTCCTGGAGAGGTGGGGCGTTCGGCATGAAATGTCGTCACCAAGATATCCCCGCTCTAACGGGCATGCGGAGGCGGCCGTGAAAACTGTCAAGAAGCTGGTGGTGGCCGCGTCATCCAGCGGTCGGCTCGATGACGAACAGCTCGACAGAGGCCTTCTGGAGCTGCGCAACGCTCCGCGCGCCGATGGTCGATCCCCGGCGCAGGTCGTGTTCGGCCATCCGCTGCGATCGGGCTCCGTGCCGATGCACCCCGTGCCTATGCCGCCATCTGGCAGCGGGCCGCCGATGAGTGTGACGAGAAGGCTGCTGAGGTCGCAGAGGACGTCAGAGACCGGCACGACTCACGAGCGCGTCCGCTCTCCAGTCTACGGATCGGCTGCAAGGTGGACATCCAGAACACCGATACCAGGCGTTGGGATCGCACCGGCGTCATCGTGGGCATCGGTCGGCGGCGGTCGTACCTGGTGAAGCTGCCCAGTGGGCGCATATGGTGGCGGAACAGGAGGTTCCTCCGGCCGCTGCGCTCCATGCTGGTGAGCACGGGGCCGTCCTCACCGCGGCTAGCCGGCCCAGCCCAACCAGTCAGCCACGAACGACTGATCATCCCATCCGAGCTGGAGGTGACCCCCGCGTCGCCGCCGCCCTCTCCGCCGATGACGTCGCCGCCGTTGCCGATCCTTCGCCGCAGTGGCCGGGACCGGCGACCGCCATCCAGGCTCACTGTCCGTTGGGGAGGCTGCTCCTACGAATAGTGTTACTCAGTGAATCTGTAGAACTCACTCGTTTGGTTTGTTCCCTGTTTTTTTTTTTTTGGTGTTTGGGTTCTAAGGCCTGTTTCGTTTGGTCAGTTATACACAACTTAGGTGTATGTATAACTAAGGGGGAGGTGTTATGTTCTGGTCACCGCGCATGCGTGCCGCGTGGCGGACGATACTAGCGCCACTGGTGGTGACACGGTAATTAGGGTCAGTCGTTCTTCTGAGCTCGCGAGAGGTGGTGTGTCATTGCCGGCCAATACACTCCGTAACTGAACACAATCTAACAGTTGACAGTGAAAGATGATAGAACTTGAAAGAAAGCTTTTCTGTTTTTCCTTTTATCAATTTAGTCCGAACTTTTTGATAGGAAGGATTCACAAGGACAGAGCCACCGCTAAGCGAAGCTTGTTACAGTGACCCTGCCCTCTACCCTCCGATCGTCAAATTCCAGTTCTATGGCAGAACTTAGAGTCCAAAGTTTAATGTGCGCACATAGCCGCGCACGGCCGGTCCCCTCACTAACTACGCCTGGCTACGGCCTGCCACCAACCGCAACCATACCTGTCAAGAGGCCCATAAACATCAAGCACCCGCCGCGCTTCGAGCCCGGACTGTTATAACCGGGAACGTGTGCTCTCACCACGTGGAGTTCAACGCTCTACCAACTGAACGCGGGACCGGCTTAACCCGCGCACCGACGGGGGGGGGGGGCGGATATCCGCCCCCCCCCTGAGGTTTTTCGCGAATAGCGGAAAGCGCCGCGAAATTTGGTACGACTATTACCTCATCAATTTTACACATGGTGTGCAAGTTTGAACCTCCTACCTTTTAAGGTCAGGTCACCAGGTCACTTTGAATGACCCAACTTCAAGTCACTTTTTTGCAACTTTGTCACCGTGCCAGAGCTACAGTAGATGTCGGTGGCCTTTGAAAGTCGCAGGATGTTATTAGGTCATAAGAAGCTACAATTTTTATATCTCGGAATTTTGATATCGGTGACCTAAGGTCAGGTCAATTTCGCGACCTCCCCATTATAAGTCAATGGGGGAAAAATCAACTCCCTGTTTTTACCACTAAAACGGGTCGGAATGGCCCCATATACCATACATGACTTCATATACGATCAACCTTCACTAGCTTGAGGTCTGTTTTGCTGTTGGGCAGCTGTGAGGTCATGTGACGTCATCAAAGGTCACCAAAGGTTTTTGGCCAATAACTTCGTACAGGAACAAGATACAGCCGCATGGATGGTCTCATTGTGTTCAGCTCGTCAAGACGCATCGAATGATGTGCATGATGACCTCGAGGTCACGTGACCTGAGGTCAACCTTTGACCTTGACCTTTCGAGGTCAACATATATATCATTCGATGCGGATTGACGAGAGGACGATGCTGCCCATAGTTTGTTCCTATCTTGACTAATTCGAAAGTTATTCGAGAAAAACTCTCTCAATATCTAGCGCCGCCATTTTGACTTTTTCGACTCCTGTGACGTCATCTCTGACCTGACTGAAAATGACCTTAGTAAAAAATTGTAGATCTTGACCGTGCGTATCCGATGCCGTTTACCGCTTGTCGCTATCTTGCTTCGTTCTCGAGATCTCAGGGGGGGGGGGCGGTCATCCGCCCCCCCCGTCGGTGCGAAGTTGGCGCAGACCCCCGTCGGTGCGCGGGTTAAGACTAAAAACACTTAACCCTCGCCCCAGTAGGGGGGGGGGCATATGTTACCACCCTGTGGCGTTTTTTTTTTGCGTGTGAATAAAAACCGCGGCGCGTAGCGCCTCGCCGCTTGAAGTATCTTTTTGTACATCAATTTTGGACGTGTGAAATTTTTTACCCCAGGTCATGTCAGGTCAGGTCACCAGGTCAATTTAACTGACCAATCCTAAACAAGTTTGCAATCATGTCCAGCCTGCAGTATTTGTGAGAGAGGCATTACACTTGGTGGATTGCATGATGCTATGGGCACCCAATACCCATACTTTGTATATCTCGGATTTTTTATATCCGCGACATAAGGTCAGGACAGTGACGTGACCTTTCCATTATAAGTCAACGGAGAAAAATGAAAATGCCTCTAGATCCGTGTGTACGCATAGGAACAGTCCAAATATTTCATAATCACAATGGTTTGAACCACCCGTGACGAGCAATGTGTCTCTTTTGCTGATAGCCTCTAGAAAGGTCATCCGAGGTTATTTGAGGCTACAAATATATTTTTGCCAATAACTCCCGATTGGAAAGAGATAGAACGCTGGGGATGGCTTCATTGTGTTTGTCTTGTCGAGACGCATCGAATGCCATGCAACATGACCTATTTGGGTCACCAAGTGACCTTGACCTGAGGTCAAAATTTGACCTTGAGTTTTCCAGGTAAAACAAATATATGTTTCAAAGCGGCTGAAGGAGAGAAACACGATAGTGCCATTGCCAATTCTTCATCTTTGCTGGTTCAAAAAATAATCGTGAAAGTATTATCCAAAAACAGCTATTTTCACAATATTTGACCTATGGAGGCTTAACCGTTGACCTGAGATCAATTTTGATAGTGGCCTTATCAAAAGAAGAGTTCAAAGGCTATCGATTGCTTTTCTATGCGTTTTTCTAGCTATCATAACCCTTAGTTTTTGAGTTAGAGGTGGGTGGTAACCATGGGTGGAGCTTTTCCAGGAAAGTTGGTGGGGCAAAAAGTTGTCAAACCTACAATGTCCGATTGTTAAGTTCGATAAAATACAACGATGAATCAATTCTTTTCATTACAGAGATAATATTTTGCATTACACAGACATTTCAAAGCTCCTCAATGCGAAAAACATTGGTTTGCTAAGCAGTAAAGTCCTGCAAATCGGCTTAAGTTGGTGGGGCAAAACTCTTATTGGTGGGGCAAAATGGCAAGTTGGTGGGGCGGCCGCCCCACCAAGTGAATAGGAAGCTCCGCCCCTGGTGGTAACATACACGTATGCCCCCCTCCCCCACTAGGGCGAAGTTGGCTGCCTGAGACCGCCACTGGGACGCGGGTTAATGCAGTATTGCATACCTATTACCTACCAACAAAGATAACCAGCGTTATTTGCTAAATTTACGATCTATTTGAAATGTCTTCCTTTCGTCACGACAAAGATGCTTTGATAGATTGCGAGCCTGCCAATTTTATTGTTCATATTACGGAATATGGATGAGTTCCTACTACTTTTTAACTACGGGGTGCTACTGTATACAGCTGTACACTGCATAGTGCATACTGTATATCCCTCGACGAACCTATTGGTTTTCTACACACGCGCCGGCCGAGGGGGGGATAACGACCCCCTCGCCGTTTCGCCCCTGGTGGAGCTAGCGCGTCGCGGAAAAAAACGAGCGTGTGTGCCGTTACAAGATGCAGAGATTGATACCCGATTTTAAGGTCCTAGGTCAACCGGTGACCTCTGAGGTCAGGTCAAGTGCCCCATGGTACGGTTCCGTTTTTAATGAATAACTTCGCAAAAATACGGCCGCAGAGCCGCGATTTTGGCAGCATCGTGTTCGCCGTCGCTCAGACGCGTCGAATCCTATACTTTTTGTTTGGGTGAGGTCAACCTAGGGTGTTGACCTCGGGTCACGGTCAGGTCAGCGCCCCCAGGTCACCAAATTGGTTTAAGGAGGTCGTGTCGCATACCATTCGATTCAGCAGGTCTTCCTGGGTCTATTGGTGACTTTCCTGACTCGCTAGCTCAATTTGATCGGGAGTTATTGAAGAAAAAACTATGACCCTAATGACATCATAAATGACGCCACGCAAGGTCAACATTGCAAAAGCCAACGCATCAAACCTTGCATTAAGTGCATGAAATCACGATTTTGTATGCTTGAGATAGTAGGAGATCGTTTCCGTCGCCAGAACAGCAGTTTTAGTGTTCTCATTTTTCTCCATTCACTTTAAATGGTGAGGTCACGAAAATGACCTGACATCATATGATCTTAAGAAAAATCCGAAATACACAAGTTGTGAGACTTCTTATGGATGCTAGGTCCTGCAATTTTCATTTCCCTGCGAAAGCTTCTCTGGCAATGAGGGCGTTGCGAAGTTGCGACATCTTAAGACCGCGCAGATGTTCACTTATGACGTCATCAGTGAGTGACCTGACCTGATCCGAAAGTGCACCATTGATGTCAAAAGATCCGGCTTGAATCAAAGGTCAGGTATGCCAAGTTTCAGCTCTCTATCGCCTGCGCACTTGGAGCTATCGCGAAAAAAAAAACTATGGGGGCAGCCGCCCTCCCCCCTCGGCCGGCGAGGGTTAATTAAGACACAATTTCCAGGTACCATATTACCGTGCACAGTTTGAAATCGATTATTTTTGGTAAGAAATTTTGCTTTCAGAACGGGACAAGTGTTCGTGTCACATAATCTTTTTGGGGATAGAGGATCGGAGTCGGGTCGCTTTTCTTGGCCCGGAGTCTGAACGCTTGACTCTTAGCTACAGAAACAGCCTCTGAGCACATGAAGGGGCCCCCTGAACACTTGATGGGGTCCCCTGAGCTACAGAAGGGCCGTGGTGAATACACAAGGCCCTCTGAGCGCATGAATAGGCCCCTGATCTCTTTATGAGGGTCGTCTGAGCGCATACAGAACGCTCCACGGGCCCCTCTGAGCTACAGAATGGCCCCGAGTACACGACAAAGTCCCCTAAGTGCATGAAGGGGCCCTCTGATCACTTGACGGGGCCCATGATCGCTTGACGGGCCCCTGATTGCTTGGCGGGGCCCGTCAAGCCAGAAAACGCCCTATGATTACGCGACAGAGCCCTCTAAGCAAATGAAGAGACTCATGGTTTCAATATCCCTCTGAGCTAAAAGAAAACTCTCTGAGCATATAAAGGGCCCCGCCTGAACGCCTGGCAGGGCTCTCTGAGCGACAGAAAAGCTCTGAGTACACGAGAAGGCCGTCTAAACGCATGAAGGGGCCCCTGCTTCCTTGATGGATGCCCTCTGAGCACATAATTAGGGCCCCTGA